TAACGCGCTCATCAGTCAGTCTTTTATAATGGTACCAGGTGGTTTGTCCTTGCGTGATCATGCCCTCTGTCTTGCGCTGCACTTCTCCACAGCATTTTGTACATGGCGTGACTTGTGAAATCGAACGTAAGCGTATGTTCACCAAATGAGCGAGCTCCTGGCAACCTTGCTTAGGGCAAAGATCTTGCCAGAATGCTTGTGCTTGAACGAAAGCCACGTTGCCGTTCTTGCATCTTTGATTCTTCTATGTCGAAATGTTATATCTTCATTAAAGTGAATCGTCCCACCGTTTATGAGAGATTTCATATATTTTTGTCATGTATACCGTAGCTGTTCGACAGCCTACTAGGCTAACTTTTTTTAGTATGTTTCTTCTTTTGATTCTGTCATTGGTTGTGTACGGCACTCTTTACGATCTTTTGGTTTATCGTCCGTCTGTAAGAACATGGATTTCGTCATTCACCGATTTAGAGGAAAAACCTTCGTCTCCCGATGCGACGGTAAGTCATAAAAATGTTTCCTCAGAAATTTATTTCTTTGCAGACTTACACAGAGGCTGAACGGGCGGTGCTGTACGAACAATGTTTGTTAACTGTCTTTTCGTTGTCGATGTTTAACCATTGTTTTTAGCCGCTTTCGCTAGGGTATTGCTTTCGTTCTCATTGTACACAAATGGGCTACGCATTTTCAACACGCGCACCAAGTCCGGTCAGATAAGCTGTGTACACGGCATCCGTGTCCTCAGTATGTTCTGGATAATCTTTGGTCATACCTACTACTGGGGAATTCCGTATCTGAGTAATTCACTGCGGTACTACATCGAATGCAGTTTAATCAGTCACTTCAGATAACTTAATGGATGGATACAAGTTGCCGAACAACATAGCTAATCAGATACTGCTCAATGGTTCGCTGTCAGTCGATCCATTCTTTTTTCTTAGGTGAGTATGCACTGCTGATTACTACTGTTTTAGGATCGTTTGAGTTTTCATGGCAAGGGAAGCTTCGCAGCCTATCTTTGATTGTCTGTTTCGCTCAGACTTAGGCGCTAAAACAATTTTAGCAGATTGCGTGCGGCTGGTAGTGTCGTTATGTAAATACAAATCGAGAAACGCTTGGCAGATTTAGCCATTCGAAGGAAACTTGTGTTTCACGATGCTGGTCTCGACTTAACCCAGAGATAACCGATTATGCCGAACATCCGTACTATGTACGCGAGGATCGAAGCTCTTCTGAAAGCGGCTTTGTAAAGACAAAAATGCGTGCAACTGCAGTCAGCTCAGTCAGGCAGCCGATTTTATTTACCAACTGGTA